CCAGTTGGGCGCCGGCGGGAGGAGCGCGCGGCCAGCGCAGCGGCAAAAGGTACCGTCATCGCCGGCATCATCATCTCCTGAGGGCCCGCATCTGACCGCTTCGTGGCTCGCATGTCCTGCGGCCTGACAGCAGGCCGCGCTGTCGCTAGCGCCGTACTGCGGGGGCGGGGTCTTAGTTGTTTGACCTAAACGGTTGGGCCCCGCCCTCCCCAGTCGGTTTGGGTTTCCTCTCTCTCCCTGCCCCTGCCTCTGCTGCTCTCTCTCTCTCTCTCTCTCTCTCTCTCTCTCTCTCTCTCTCTCTCTCTCTCTCTCTCTCTCTCTCTCTCTCTCTCTCTCTCTCTCTCTCTCTCTCCCCCTGTTCTCCCGCTCAAGCCTGCGGGGCTCGAAGCCCTCCCAGGGCCCCCATGGGGCCCTCTTTTGCCCGCCCGCCCTGGGCTTTGCCCCGGTGTCTAACGGCGCCGGCGGCGAGGCCCGCTTCGCGCGGCGGAAGGAGGGGCCCGCCTGGCGCCCAGTTGGGCGCCGGCGGGAGGAGCGCGCGGCCAGCGCAGCGGCAAAAGGTACCGTCATCGCCGGCATCATCATCTCCTGAGGGCCCGCATCTGACCGCTTCGCGGCTCGCATGTCCTGCGGCCTGACAGCAGGCCGCGCTGTCGCTAGCGCCGTGCTGTGTGGGCGGGGTCGAGTTGGCAGATTCAAGCCGATTCGAAAGCAAATCTGGATTCTGGCCGGCCCGGCAGAACATCAGCGGCTCCCAAAAAACGGCTCCCCAGACACATTTGTCTAAATCCTTTCATTTGATTTTGGGCTCTGGCACGCCCGACAGGCGCTCCGTGCGAGCCCGCGCGAGCGGGGGCGCCTCCAGAGTGGCCCGACAAGCGCTCCGCGCAAGCCTTCGCGACGCGAATCCTATGTGTTTTACAAAAGATCGCGGCATCGGCACGCCCGAAATCTAGCCGTCGCGATGCGAATTCTATGTTTTTAATGAGGTATCGTGGCCAAGCCGGCTGGCGCACACCAGTTAATCCCGCTGCGAGGTTCCCAGACGTTAATGCGTAGTGTAAACCCATCCAGCGGATAAAGATCAAGTTAGCTGCGCTTCTAAATTTATATGCGAATTTGCACATGTAGCCCTAATCGTACTTCGCCCCATCACACGCCTACTTGTACCCTTATCTACACTACCCCACTACAGCGGCACATGCAAGTCTCCTCTTCACTTTTATATAAGAACTGGCGGCTGTCTATATGACATGTCTACGCTGGCTCCACTTCTGCCCTACTCGGAACCAGCTCTAATCTTATCCTGCACCCCGTTGCAATCAACCTGACTCACGGACAACCCCCAATCCACTCCACCGTGCTCCATCTCAATGCCTACTCCACTCATATCTACTCGATGATGGATGGCATCAACGGGGCTATGCCTTTTCCGGTCACGATTGTCCCTCGCGCAATAAACCCCGCTCGATTGCCGAGAGAAACCCACTGGCCGAACGCGGGAAGCGCCGGTCTACGCGCGACACCCTCAGTGAGAGGGGGTAGGGCGGGGAGGACGCACAATGATGGCGCGCAGGAGCGAAGGGGCAAGAAGGGGGGAAGACTGGGGCTTTGCAGCGAAGCTTGACTGCCAGCGGCCACAATGATTGATCGGGCGGATTTTGTGGACGCGCGTAACAAAATGGAAGAAGAAACAGGGGTCCAAATCTGCAGGGCCACTATCGGCTGGCCAAGAGGCAGTCGTTGAATTGCCCACGCCGCGCGCTATGTGTAACCGCAGTGACGCGCCATCCAGTCCACGATGGCAGCGCGCGGTCGACCCTCATTTCGCACGCTGCACGAACCACATCGCCATAGACGCGCGCCTTTGCTAAAGCTCGATAGCGCGCGCTGCCGCCACCAAGCGCGGCAAAACGAGTAATGGTGGCGCCGCGCGGCGCATCGTCTTTTCCAACCGGGTGCATCGCACGGTCGCCTAACCAGTATCCAGAAAACGAGTTCCAGACTATGTTTGGGATATTTTGGACATAGCAAGAAAAATCAACACACTAAGATTTATATTATTTTTCCATTTTCATCCTGTACAAAGACATGCCCGACTTAATCCTAAGCGGTTACCGCCGGCCCCCCTTCTTGAAACCCGCCTCCCAAAACACCACGCACGATGGCTTTGTTTGCTCTTGTTATTCGCGCTTCGTGTTGTCTTGCCGGAACACACGATGCAGCGCCTTCGCAAGCGCTGCCTTCAAGTCGTCGAAGCTCTTTGGACTCACAGTTGCAGGCGATGCGCGACACGGCCGAGGCACCCTCCAGAGATCTCAGTGGCAATTGGGGTAATATCAAGGCACGGCACGATTTCAAGTTGGGGAGCTGCTGGCAAATCATGCCAGCGGGTCTCACACATCACCAAACTAATTCGGAATTTCCCTCCGCTTCTTGTCCCGTGATTGCCCCCACTCGCTCTAGATTCTTCTGTGCTGCCTTTGCACTTGCTCCTTCTCTCATCCCCCTCCCTCTCTTTCCCTCTCTCGTTTGTTCCTCTCCTTTTCTCTCTCTCTCTCTCTCTGTCTCTTTCTCTCCCCCCGTTATCTACTCATCAGCAAATCCTCCCTCCTGCTGATGCTCCTGATGCTAGTCTGCCCCTCGCGCGCACCCAACCCTCACTCCTCGACTCGTGGCCAACCTATTGACAACCCGTCGCCTGCGTGGAACCTGCCGTTCTGATATTCCCCGGTGCGCAGGTCGCAGGTGGGCGAAACAGGCTCGCTCTTGTCCTCTGTCCCCGCAGAGACCTTGACATCCGAAGCGCCTTTCCTCGCCGTCAGAGAGTACGCGTGTGCCATCAACGCCTCTGGACAAGCGTATCGGATACAACTGCTCGTAATTCCTATATGCACAAACCCACCGTGCAGCTGCCGTCGGCAGGAAGCAGGCTGACCTGCTGGAGGGCCAGAGGGCGGCTGGGAGAAACAAGGGGCAAAGGAGAGCATCAGCGACGGAAGGGATGCTGACAAACAGCAGATGAGGGGCATCCATGAAAGCTTGGGCGCCTTCTAGAGGGGGGGGAGGATGAGGAGGTTCCGTAGAAGAGGAATGTAGATAGGAAGATGATAGCTTGAAAAACAACCCATGGAACTTGAACTATCCAGGTTTCGCGGAATCTAGCACCCACGGGCCACATTTTACTTAATGCTGATCCAGTTCTCAGACATGGACAGCGAGAACAACAATCAAGCATCACCACCGAAATTGCTGTCGCCAACCGCTAATCGACATTGCCGGCCATTGCGAGTGTCATTTCGTTTGGATATTGCTGAATGGCGGCAGTGACTAAGTCAGAGATTTGCTCACTCTTTCTTCTAGGACAACGGAGCGCCAGAACGGCTCGGCTTGCGAGATGGCGCCAGAGAGCTCCCAGATGGCCGCAAGTCGGCCCAAAAGTGGCCCAAGGAATCCCAAAGCCTGCCCCAAAGGAGTCCAAGAAATGGCAGAGAGAGGGAGGAAAACGGCGAAGACGAGAAACGAATCAGTCGTCACCCATGGTGCTGGGCTGGCACGGCGGCGGGACTAGCCGCAGGAGCTAGATCACTTTATTACTGTTGCGGGCCGACGCTGGCAAACATTTGTATACGTCTGGTTCGGACGGATGCTATGTTTCGCGCGCTCCTCTGATACGTCGCAAGCGCTTGCCTGCTTGAGTTCATTCCCCGCCGTTTTACGCACCATTCTCGTCACTTGTATGCGTGTGGTGCGGCGCGGTCTGATGGCGCAAACTGAACACGAAAGCGGGGGTCGTGCCTGCAAAAAAAGACAGGCCGCCAAACCCCCTGGCTTTGCAAAAACTCCCGTGCGGCCTTCCAAATTGCCCAGGGCTCCGGCGGCGTCGTACTTTTGTCACGACGTGGCCTCCGAGCTCTCAGCCCAGTCCCCAATACTGGTCTTTCGCCGCGGGTCGTTTGTTTGTTGGCCCAGGGGCCCCAACGCATCTCCCAGCGGCCGAGATCATCAAGAAAGTGTCCATCGTGAACTCGCTTGGCGGCGCCAGGAATTCTGAGAGCACAGGGGACCTCCTCGCACAAGGCGGGGCGTCGAAACGCGCCGAGGCGGCGACGCCGGCACAGGGAGTCAGACCACAGGAACGGCTGGGCCCGCTCGGGCACTTCTTCTCCTGGCGGGCGGAGGCCCTCCTGAGGCTCGGGAGGCCCGTCGGTGGAGGAACACCTCGCCGGCTGGGTCATCCAGCTGCGCGCCTCGCGCCGCGCGGAGCGCGAGGCGCGGATAGCTGGGAGCCCTGGTGCCGCTTCGTTGTAAACTGACGGGTCCGTGGCCCAGACAGCGACTCGCGAAGCGCGAGTATCTTCGCGCCCCTGGGGGTGAGTCAGGCTTGCTGGGCGGATGCCCTCCTGCTGCGTGGGTGGAGGGGGTATAGTTCGACACTCACTCTCGCTGCGAAGCCATCCTCGATCCTCGACCCTCCCTCGTCGATCCTCGATGCTCAGGTAGAGTGAGCGAAGGCCCTGGCGGTGCCCCCCTTGGCTCGGGGTGGACAAGGGAGGGATGGGCGCCGCTGCTGCAGTGGCACCTGGAGCCGAGGTGCGCCGCGGCCGCTCACCTGCTGCCGCCGTGGGGCCCCTCAGACGCGCTCGCCGCGAAGGCGGCGGGCGAGCTGGAGGTCCTGCGTCGGAGGAGGGGCGTCCGGCTGTGAGAGGCAGCAGACGGGGGAAGGACAAAGACGAGGGGGAGGATGGAGGGGCGCGTGAGGCGCGGCGACGGGGCGGTGGAGCAGCCTCCGGCCCTGCCTCGACGAGTTGGGCCCTGCATCAAGAGCACCGCGTGAACCGCTCCGTCTGGAACCATTTTCGTTCTCGGGGGTCCATCCGTCGTGTGGATTTCGCGTCGTAAGATGTTATCTGTGAGCCCCAGGGCCCGAGACGAGCCCCAAGAGGTGTTCAACCTGGAACGTCACCGCCAGCGTCGCCGCCGCACATTCCAAACGGTGGCTTTTCGGGCCACGGGGGCGGACGGAGGCAACGCGAGTCTTTGTTGCTGTCTCCCTTTCAGGCTCCGACCGCTGAAGCAGTCAGAGGGGGGAGGCGAGGAGAGGAGGGAAGTTGGCAGAGGAGGTGGGGCAATGGCCAGAGAAAAGGCGAGGTGAGGTGAGCGTGCCTCCAAGCTCATGGGGGAGCCATGCGGGCCTTCGCGCTGCCGCGTGGACGAGCCACCTCGTCCAGCATCAGCCTCTGGAAGTCTTTGTCTGTGAAGCTGGTCATCACGACGAAGGCGCGCCAACGGCCCAGCCCCGAGCTCCGCCACAACCTCTTCGCGAGAAAGGCGTAGTAGAAGTCTTGCAAGCCGGCCTCCGTCTTGGTGAGAACGGCGTCCGCCCCGCCGAAGACAAACAAGTCCAGGCGGCCCCCTATGAACGTCTTGAGATTGACTATGCCCAGGAGCTGGAACAGAAACATGGACGCCACCGCGACGTTCTCCATTGTGACAGAGCTCTCGTTCACCATCTGCGACGCAACTCTGAATTTGACCAGGAACACTTCCAGGCCAATCCAAAGAAAAAATGAACGCGAACATGCGAAAAGAAGCAGGTCCCGCACAGCATAGCCCATGTGACGGGCTTTGTAATTCTCACCAACTGCTTCGAAGCAGTTGGACAAGTCGTGCAAGAACACATCAGGATGCAGGCGAGACAAGGATCGCATAGCGCTAGCAGTGGTGAGATGCGGCAGCTTTTGCCAGAACACCATGGACACGTACCGCCAGCGCAACCCTTCCCCGTTGCCAGGGCATAATATAGCGGCCATAAGCATACATATTATCTCGGTGTAGAGGTAGCCGATCAGCAGCAACTCCATCAGCATCGTGACCCCAGCCGCACCGCTCGCCATGGGTATATCGTTCTCAGGAACGACGGTGTTCAGAATATGGAAGCCATCGAGAGTGCGGTCAGACAATATAGTATCCAGGTCCAACTTTGCAGTGTAAGCGAAATTGAAGATGGCCATCGCACAAACCATCATCGACGAGACACATCTGACAACAGGCGTGTGCCTGTCTTCATTCCATAACCGCCTCAACCTGTGCTTGTCGAGCCCACCGTCTGTTCTGAGCCGGAGGTTCTCAAGCAGCTCGGGCGCAAACTCCTCAGACGAGTGGCCAAATTTCCTCCACAATGCGGTGAACCGGTACTCCTCTTTCTCATCCGCGCTCATAGTCCTGCCGCTGGGCGTTCTGCTCATGGACACAGTGGTTTCTATGCTGTCCCAGACGCGATCCGCAGCGCCCTTGACCTCCTCGGGGAGAACGTCCATGGCGTCGAGCGGGTGCTCCGAAACAGTGCCGGAGAGCAGCAGCCCCCCGTCGGCGGCCTCCGTGGCGATGGTGGTATGGCCGCCCCATCCAGGCAGGGGCCACTCCATCGGCTCGTCCGCCGCGGCCCCGCGGGGCTCTGCCACAGTCTGGCGAGGTCGTCCCCGCTTGGCGAGGTCGGCATGTACGGTGGCATTACGCGGCGGCGACGCGCGCTGAGCTGGCGGTGCCATCGGAAAACTGCGGCTTCAGCCGAAATTGCTACGACTGACGCGAGGTGGAAGATGAGCTGAACTGGTAGTTGGTGTACTCCATCGGCATCCGCCTGCTGGGAGTGACAAGGCGCGTACCCCCGTCTGCTCCCCTCCTAGTGGCCCAAAACTCGCTGCCCTCGGACCAGAAACGTGTTAGGCATGGCCAGCATGGGGACAGAAATCGCGCTGCGGTTGAGAAGGCCCAAGGTCGCTGGCCTATCTTGTCTTGGGGCCCTCTTGGGGTCCTCTTGGGGTGCCCTTTGGCTCCCCAGGAACCCTCTCGAGGCCACATCGGGGCTTAGTGGGGCCTTTTTGGACGGTTCTAGGGTCCGTTTGGTGGGCTCTTTGGGCCGTCTTGGGGCGATCCTAGGCCGTCGTGGGGCGATCCTGGGCCGTCGTGGAGCCGCCTTGGAAGCCATCCTGTGCAATCCTGGCCCTTGTAGCTTTTTTGGTCCCTCTTCTGGGCTCTTGTGAGCCTTTTGGAACTTCGTGGAAAAATAGAAAACTGAATAATAAATACCACTGGCCCGACCTAGTTCTTCAAACCTCCTTCTTCCCCTTTTGCGATCGGTTTATCACTGTTCCCTATTAATAAACACCCCCTCCCCCAGGCGACTGGGGGCCAACCAGGGTCCATGCCGACCCCCCCCCCATCCCTTATAAAAAAAACAATACAAAACACACTCTGCCTCCAAATTCGGAACATGCGCAGCCAACCCGATGCGGCCCCCCCCACCATCCCTGTCAAAAAACAATACAGAGTACACTTGGCGGCGACGAGGCGGCGGCTGCGGCGGCTGCGGCTGCGGCGGCGGCGGCGGCGGCGGCGGCGGCGGAGGCGGGGGCGGCGGCGGCGGCGGCGGCGGTGGCGGCGGCGGCAGCGGCTGCGGCGGCGGTTTGGCAGCGGAGGGCGGCGCGGGCGGCGGCGGCGGCGGCGGCGGCGGCGGCAGCGGCGGCGGCGGCGGCGGCGGCGGCGCGGCGGCGCGGCGGCGGCGGCGGCGCGGGCGGTGGCGGTGGCGGCAGCGGCTGCGGCGGCGGTTGGCAGCGGCGGCGGCGGCGGCGGCGGCGGCGGCGGCGGTGGCGGCGGCGGCGGCGGCGGCGGCGGCGGATTGGCCCCCAGTAGCTGCCCATCCCAAGACGACTGCTGAATCTGCTGAGGCTCGGGCCAATCTCGGGTGCTACGTATGTGTTGGGAGGGCGGGTGGGAGTGAGCGAGACGGCTTGCGGGCGGGGAGGGGGTAACTTGACCTCTCCCCCTACCCCCTCTCCCTGGGTCTGGACAGGTCTGGTCGCGGATCCTAGGAGGGTCCAAGATGGTTCAAGACGACCCCATATGGCCCAAGATGGTCTCCAAGACTGCACCATGTAGGCCAAAGTCGCTTCCAACATGCCTCCAACAAGCGCTATGACCGCCCCAAAACGGTTTTGAGTGGCCCAGGAGCCTCCCAAAGACAAGAGACCCCGAGAGGCCCAAATCCTTCTCAAACCTGAGGAACATCATGGTTTTCCCTACATGTTGCCGCGTCGCACCCGCGACGCTCACTCACCTCCCCTCCTCTTCCTTCTCCTTCTCACACAGCGCAGCACAGCTCAGCACATAACAGCACTGCTCAGCACAGCACAGCACAGCACGACGGTCGTCCAGGGCACAGCAGGCGTGGGATGTTGTCGACACCCTAGGGGGTGCGCAAGGGGTGGTCCCTGAGGGCGGCGTCTATGCGGGCCATGGCGCACGGCATAGCAGGCGTGGTACTTTCTCGACACCATAAGGGGTGCGCAAGGGATGGTCCCCGAGCGCGGCGTCTATGCGGGCCATGGCGCAGGGCATAGCAGGCGTGGAATTTTCTCGGCACCGTAGGGGGTGCGCAGGGGGTGGTCCCCGAGCGCGGCGTCTATGCGGGCCATGACGCAGGGCATAGCAGGTGTGGCACTTTCTCGACATCATGGGGGGTGCGCAGGGGGTGGTCCCCGAGCGCGGCGTCTATACGGGCCATGGCGCAGGGAATAGCAGGCGTAGCACTTTCTCGACACCATGGGGGTTGCGCAGGGGGTGGTCCCCGAGCGCGGCGCCTATGCGGGCCATGGCGCAGAGCATAGCAAGCGTGGCACTTTCTCGACCACGGAGGGGGTGCGCAGGGAGTGGTCCCCGAGCGCGGCGTTTACGCGGGTCATGGCGCAGGGCATGGCAGGCGTGGCTGTTTCCCGATACCGCAGGGGGTGCGCAGGGGGGGGTCCCACAGCGCGGCGTCTATGCGGGCCATGGCGCAGGGAATAGCAGGCGTGGCACTTTCTCGACACCATAGGGGGCGCGCGGGGGGTGGTCCCCGAGCGCGGCGTCTATGCGGGCCATGGCGCAGAGCATAGCAAGCGTGGCACTCTCTCGACGCCAGACGGGGTGCGCAGGGAGTGGTCCCCGAGCGCTGCCGGTAACCGTGCCGGTCGTCCAGGGCATAGCAGGAGTGGCACTTTCCCGACACCATACGGGGTGCGCAGTGGGTGGTCACTGAGCGCGGCCGCTATCCGTGCCGGTCGTCCAGGGCATAGCAAGAGTGGCACTCTCCCGACACCATCTGGGGTGCGCAGGGGGTGGTCCCTGAGCGCGGTCGCTGTCCGTGCGCGTCGTCCAGGGCACTGCTGTCCGTGACGGTCGTCCAGGGTATACAGGCATGGCATATTCTCGACACCACAAGGGGTGCGCACGGGGTGGTCCTTGATCGCGGCCTCTATCCGTGACGGTGGTGCTCAAGGCACATCTGTACGCAAGTTTGCTATCCGTGCCGGTCGTGCTCAGGGCACAGGGAAACGCTGGCGGAGCAGGCGTGGCATATTCTCATAACCTCAGGGGGTCCGCAAGTGGTGGTCTTTGAGCGCGGCCGCTATCCGAACCGGTCGTCCAGGGCGCAACAGGCGTGGCACTTTCTCGACACCATGGGGGTTGCGCAGGGGGTGGTCCCCGAGCGCGGCGTCTATGCGGGCCATGGCGCATAGCATACCAAGCGTGGCACTTTCTCGACGCCAGACGTGGTGCGCAAGCAGTGATCCCCGAGCGCGGCCGCTATCCGTGCCGGTCGTCCAGGGCATAGCAGGAGTGGCACTTTCCCGACACCATGCGGGGTGCGCAGTGGGTGGTCACTGAGCGCGGCCGCTATCCGTGCCGGGCGTCCAGGGCATAGCAAGAGTGGCACTCTCCCGACACCATCGGGGGTGCGCAGGGGGTGGTCCCTGAAGGCGGTCGCTATCCGTGCCGGTCGTCCAGGGCACTGTTGTCCGTGACGGTCGTCCAGGGCATAGCAGGCATGGTATATTCTCGACACCACAGGGGGTGCGCACGGGGTGGTCCTTGAGCGCGGCCTCTATCCGTGACGGTGGTGCTCAAAGCACATCTGTACGCAAGTCACCAGCCTGTCTGGGCGCAGGTGGTCCAGGGTGGCCACTTTTCCAACCCCCTTTCTCCCCCTTCGGGGAAGGGTTTACCTTTCCCCTTGCCCCCTCTCCTGGACCTGGACGGGGGGGTTCGAAAGCGCTGGGGCGTCCAAGATGGCCCAATATGGCTTCAAGAGCGCCTGGGAGCCCAAAATGAATTCCGAACTGGCTCAAAATAGCGCAAGATGGCTTTCAAGAGGCTCCAAGACCGCCCCAAGACGGCTCCAAGTGGCCCGAGAACTCTCCAAGGAGGCCCCCAAGAGGCCAACATCCTTCAAACCACCTAAAATAAATCAGTGTGTTTTGCTTTCTCGCCTTTTCGTTTCTGATGGCCTTCCGAGGCCTCAAGATGGTTCCAAGATGGCTCAAGAGGGCCCCAAGAGGGTTCCCCAAAAAAACCCAAGCCGGCCTCAAGAGCGCCCCCAAAGCGCCCCAAGAGCGCCCCCAAGAGGCGATTTTAGAGAGGGGTGGCGCAAATTGAGGAGCCCCTCTTTTTCGATCGATGTCCTCCACGATGGCCCCAAGAAGAGCCCAGGAGGCCCCAATATGCTCCCCGAGACATCCAAAACGCTCCAAGAGCCCCCCTGGGACCGCCAACGAGTCCCCCAGACGCTCCAACAGGCCTCTGAAAAAAACTTCCAAGAGACATCCGAGGAGACTCTGACAAGGCAACTCGCCCGGGCCTCGTTTCTGGGTGGGCGGATACTTTTGGCACGCGGGCTCGCGAAACAAGATCAGAGAAACTATGGATTCAGTTTGTGTCGGGGTTTCGGTTTTCCCCTATGCCTGGCGGTCCATAGGGGCCAGACGGATCGCGAGGAAGCGGACGAGGAGGAGGAGGAGGAGGAGGAGGAGAGGGAGAAGGGGCCGTCTGTGGTTGTGGTTCCTCGCGTTTCTCCGGCCTGCCTCTCTCCCCTCCCCCTCCTCCCTCTCTCCCTAAACCCCCCTCCCTCCTCCTCCCCCCGCCCCTCCCCCCGAAATGGGACGAATTACAACCGACTGGTCCCAATTCCAACCGTTCGGAGCGAATTGCAACCATACATGGGACCAATTACAACCATGGGATCTTCAGAAGTACTTCTTTCTTATTCAGAAGTACTTCTTTCTTCTTCAAAAGTATTTCTTTCTTCTTCAGAAGTCCTTTTCATTCCTTAGGATTCCTTTGGGTTCCTTATGATTCCTTAGGACCCCTTAGGATCCTTAGGATTCCTTAGGGTCCTTGGGATCCCTTAGGATCCTTAGGATCAGGACTCCTCCGGATTCCGTCAGGAATCCTTAATCATAGGAATCCAGAAACAAATCCGTAGGGGGTGCGCTGTGGGGGCCTTCTTGGCGTCTCTTTGGGCCACTCTTAGGGCCCTCTTGGGGCCTTCTTGGAGCCCTCCTGGGGCCCTTATTGACTTTTCTTGGCGCCCAAATAAGCCCTAGAAGGGCCAACGTTCGAGGGCTGCAGGGGGGCCCAGCAGAGTGACGTCCTATGGGGGCTCAGATTGGACCTCGCCATCCCTGGGGGGGGGCTGCGATCTGCGAAACTGTCGCCACTTTCGAGCGGTGCTGGTGGGTCCAGTGGACTGGCGTCCTACAAGGGGCCCTAAAAGAGCCCGAAACGGCAGCAAGAGGGAAAAGCAACCGACAAGTATGTTTTCTTTCGGATGGGGGCGGGAAGAACAACCGAACAATATTCATATTCGATT